CGCCGCGTCCCCGCACCCGCCGTCTGTGGCTGTGTTTTCGGGCCCCGGGCCCGCTGGGCCAGGGGGACTGCATGCGGGCGCTCCGGCTGCCGGCCACGGCCTCTTCAGCCTACCCGTACCCTCGCTGCTCGGCTCCGTCGCCAGCCGCCTGTCCTCCGCTCCGTTGACAATGGCCGGTTCGCTGGCAGGGAATTTGCAAGAACTCTCCGCCCGATACCTGAGCTCCTCGGCCTTCGAGCCTTACTCCCGGACCAACAATAAAGAAGGGGCCGAGAAAAAAGCGCTGGACTGATTTTACGTGTTTGCCTGTATTTATATTTATAGTATCTATTGTGGTGATATTTATGGACTCGCGTATTCGGCGCCCGAGGCTCCTGGGCTGGGCTTCCCGCTCCCACCAGGCCTCTGACAGCTCTCCTTCCCCATTAGTCTCTGCTACCAATCTTATTTTGGGCTACTTTTTTTCTACCTTCCCTCCGTCCTCCTCTCCTCCCCCCAACTTCCTTCTGAATCCAGGAGAATCCAAAGAATTGGGGGGGGGGGGAATGCCCGAATTAGCCAACTGATGCCCCAACCGATGCCAGGCCCTGGAAGGAAAAGACTGGTTCTAAGTCAAAGCACAGGCCACCTGCTCTAGATCGGGCCGGGCCGCTGCTGCCGGTGATCATTCTTAGGAATATTGAAAGAGGAAAGCTGCGCGCAGAGCCCTGGGGCTGAAAAAACCGGTAGGTTTCGTTAGAGCAAAAAGGAAGACGTTCCTCCCTCTTGCCAGAGAAACCAGGGCTTCGGGGAGCCCCTGAGCCCCACTTTATGGACTGCTTGGGAGAGCCGATGCACACGCAGCTTTCTGGCTGGACAAATCTTGCCGATTCCCCACCCCCCCCCACCCCCAACACCTCTAGAGAAGCAACAATCACAACCACCCCCGACCTCAGGAGATACACCCAACGTCACGGTGGGCAACGGCGGTGATACATTGGACCGGATCAGCAATAAAGCCAGAGTATAACTACCACATAAAACCAGATGAAGCGAAACCAGTTTTTAAATACTCCTGTAACAATCCAGTTTGGACGGCTTACGAAAATCCACGATAGAGAACGCTCCGCGGGGCAATGCAAAATTCAAGTTCTGGGTGTTATGACTTTAAACGGGAACTTAAAAGGAAAAAAGCAAAGAAAAGCCAACGCCGCTAGTGAAAGACAATTCAGAATCTTTTCTCCGAGGCTGTTCGGGGCGACGGACGACAGCTCCCCGCTCCGGGAGCGAGGGAAGGGCGGCTGCCGGGCTCTTCTCGCCAGCGTCTCCCCGACGACGCGCAGGCAGAATTGCTGGGCTTGGAGACGAATCGATGCCCTTTGCGTCCTCTTCCCCACTCCCGGATTCAGGAAGCCCTTCCAGCACGCAGGAAACGACTGGATTTCAGAGCTCTTCTTGGAGGACCCCGTGTCAGGGACGGAGACGGGGACAGCGGGGCTACCGGGCCTCCAGTGTGGTAGTCTCGGTATTCAGATCAGCTACCTGCTCAGATAGGAAAGGCTTCCCTCCCCACACCCCTCCCCCCACCCCCACCCCCCCAGGTTTCCACGGTCCCAAGTCAGAAACCCGGACCGCGACACCGTCACAGCCTCATCCCTTACCGGAGCCACAAACCTCCGTCCCCGCAGCTACGGCCACCCGCATTTTAACCAAAACTACAGACCTAGACGGCGAGGTGCCGCAGCGTCTAGAATGTATTTCTTCATCCGAAGCGAGCGCAGAGCATTTTTTAAAATAGTAATTTTATTGTAAATTATTTACGTCGGAAGCTCCCCCACCCCTCTTTTTTTTTTTCTTTTAGGAACTAGTGAAGAAAATAATGAACGATTCAAACATGGGTAGGTGTCACTGAATCCTGGCTACTAACTTTGTTCTGAATGTTTTGGATATTTGGATGTTTTGTATTTATGTGGTGAGAGTGAAATATATATATCTAAGATGATAAATGAGGTGTATTTCTGTCTTGTGTTTGAAGGATAAAAAAACAAATCAAAAAAGAAGAAGAAGAAGAAGAGGAAGAGAGACCCAGCAAATGATATGGCTCGGTGGCCTGGGGACTCCTGGGGCGGAGGGTGGCAGGCAGCCCCAGAGCTCCAGGCCCTGAAGCCGGTACCTGCCATGAGCTCCTGAGAGGAGGTTTGGGGCAGACTTTGGTCCCTAGAGACAACAGCCGCCTGGCTAAAATGTTGTTTCACTTCTTTGAGTGGGTCTCACTCTCTCTCTGTCCCAATAGGTTAGACCTTCAGGCCCTGCCCCCCACCCCCATTCTCCCCACGTGGTGTTTCTGGGTTTATTTAGGAACTTGTGTCCTGACACCCTAAAGTTCCTGCCTCCTAACATTCCCAGTTTCTAGAGTTTTCCAGCCACATCTCCAAGCTGACCGGCCGTATTTTGGATTCATGCAATCACAGGGCCCGGAACAGTTACGATTTTCCGCTCTTCTGATTTAGAGTCTCTCGGCCGCTAAGAGAAACTTGAAGGAGCAAGAGAGTGGAAAAGATATTAATTCCTGCACAGACCTCTTCCCCCACCCCACCCCAGTATATTCGCGGTGGTGAGCGGATGTAGACGGTGCAGAGAGAACGCAGGGGTTGAGGAGGGTACATCTAGACACTTTCCTAAAGCATGAGGCCCCCCCGGGGCGCAGGCTTATCGGTCCTAGCTCCCTCTTCCTGGTGCCCGGGCACCAGGGTGATGCGGGGGGCCCACAGTTCCCTTGGGGCACCTGCACAGGCCAGGCCCCTCGAACGCTCACGAGGGTACTGTGCCCGAACTGCAAGTTTGAAGCACCCGAAATGAGGCAGCGGCACAGCGTGATCGGCTGAGTTCATAAGCTGAGTGTAGGTTGGAACTCTGCGTGGTTTAGGGCCTTTGCGGTGAGCTGGTTGTTTTCCTGAGAGCAGCCACCGCCCCCAGACAGTCTACTTTTGTTTCTGGAAGTCGCTGCACACCCCTTGGCTTGCTACCTCTGGGCTCCTCCCCTCCCTGTCTTATTTTCTTTAGCTGGAACCTGCTTTCTCCCTTCTGTCCCTCTAAGGGTCTCTCTCCCCTGCTGCTCTGGGTCTCCGTCCCCTTGTTTCTCCTTTCTTCCATTGCTTCTCCCCAGTCGCTCTCTGTCTCTCTGCTTCTCACTCACATTCATTCTCTCTCTCTGTCTCTCTCTCTCTCTCTCCCCAATTCCTGTGCCTTCTCCTGGTGGCCCCAGGACCAAGGCGTGGGTGGCTCTGATGCAGCTTCCTGGCTGGTGGTTTGGGGCCAGTGAAGGGGGAGAAGGGAGCGAGAAGGTGGCATACATTTATGGAACAAAAGAAAACACAAAATCCTAGCTTCAGGGTCCCACCAAGCTTAGCCCCCTCCCCCAGGAGCATCAGCCTGGGGAGTCACCAAGCAGATCCCTTAGAAGCTTTCCCTCCTTTCTCTTTTCACTTCCTTATCCCTAACAAGGGGAAAGAGCTGCCTACCCCGTTTCTCTGCTCTCACCTCCCTTCCCTCCCTGGCTTTGGGAAGAGCTGCTGAGCTCTTCTCCTGCCACTCAGGGAGTGCAATTGTTCTTAACGAGACTCTTCGGCATAGAACATGAATCACAATTTTAATTAAAAAACGTTTATAGACAATTCATTTAATTTTAGTGCCTGTCTTGTTCCCCCTCCTTCCCCAAGGGCCTCCAGCAAGCTGCCTGGGTCCCTGGAGGGCTCTGGTGAGGCCTCTGTCCTCCCTCTAGGGACTCACAGGCCAGGGAGGAGGCAGGTGGCCTCTGTGACAACAGCTGGCCCTGCCTGGGAGAAGGTGGAAGGGGCTCCTGGAGGTCAAGGAGAACAGCTGGAGTTGGGGGAGCTGAAAGGAATCTCATGCACAGGCCTGCACAAAGCAATGTCCAAGTTAGCTCAGAGCAAAAAAGAAAAAGAAAAAGAAAAAACCCTCTCACCAAACTCCTGTGACTTTGGTGGTCAGGTGCGGGGAAGACGTGGGAAGTCACTTGGGGAGTTGAGCTGGGACACAGGCTCAGATCCATACTTGCAGCTGGCCTGGCCCAGAGCAGAGTGTAGTCATAATAAATAGCATTTAGCAGCCCTTTATAGTTGACAAGTAGCCTTTCACATATACCGTCTGTATTACTCCTTACTTGCAGAGTGCCAGCCTCATTTTAAAGAGCCACATGAGGGGCGCCTGGGTGGCTCAGTCGGTTGAGAGACTGACTTCGGCTCAGGTCATGAGCTCACGGTTTGTGAGTTCGAGCCCCACGTTGGGCTCTGTGCTGGCAGCTCAGAGTCTGGAGCCTGCTTCAGATTCTGTGTCTCCCTCTCTCTCTGCCTCTCCCCTGCTCATGCTCTGTCTCTCTCTGTCTCAGAAATAAATAAACATTAAAAAAATAAAAAAAAAAGAGCCACATGAGGCTTGGAGCAGTAAAATGACTCTTGCTGGAGGCTATGGCCCTTGTCAGAGCCACAAGACTATAAGCTCCCCACACGGCCAGGACCCTCTTCTTCCTGCTTTTTTTTTTTTTTTCTTTCCTTCTTTCTTCTCTTCCCTTCTTTTATTCCTTCATACTTTCCTTTTGTGCCCAAAGTGTCTGGCTCATGGTACCTGAATTCTTTAGCCTGTTTACACCCACATCTGTGGACTCCCATTTCCAGCCCTCTTTTTTGCTACACCGGCTGCTAAGGATTTACTTGGTGCCTTCATCAAGAGGTTTGAATTTTTCCCTTCTTCCTGTTTTCTTTCTTGCGGGTATCCAACTCCTGCCCCTACTCCTCTCCAGAGCGACATCTTTAAACACCTTACCATCTCTACCTCATACTTCTGTAAAAAAAACAAACAAAATAAAACCAAAAAACTTCTTTACGATCTAACATTCATATGGTAAACATCTATATGGTAAAGTACACAAAGCTGAAGCATACAGTTGATGAATCTTTACACACGTGGGCACACACACACACACACACACACACACACACACACTTCTTGAATTGTTTCAGTGATATTCTTCCAACTTCTCCTCTTAGGCCACAGGATGATACAATGTTTTTCTCCTGTTTGAAAAGAAATGGTGTCATCTTGGTGTCCTGCTAATTGCACAGAAAACCTTCCAGGAAGTCTCTCCAAGGCTTCTGGACAGAATTAGAAATCATGTATTTCTTCCAATCCCCTGTGGTGCTGAGTCTAAGTGACTTAGAGTCAAACATCCGATCAGAACTTAAGGTCTACTAAGTCAGCGTTTCTCGAGAAACAACAGAAGACCACCTGCTTCTGAATCACCTGGAGACTGGTTAAAATGCAGATTCCTGTACTTCAGCCCCCCACCCCCACCCCCATATGAGTCAGAAACTATGGGAGTGGGGCTCAGGAATGTGCATTATTAATAAGTTTCCCAAGTGATTTCCACACTAACATTTGAGAACTGTACTAAATGGCAAGTTCTCAAAACACTGCAACCTCCAGCATCTGGCCCAGGGCCTGCTGTTTGGTGGGAATACAAGGAATGTTTGTTAAACAAATTAATCCACATGTTCGGACACAATTTGGAGTTTCTGGGATCACATCGTACCATTGTAACAACACCATGTCTACATTGGGAAATCTTTACATTTCAGAGTCTTTTTACTGGGATGGGTTTCATTTTGATGAAGCCGGAAAGGAAAGAGGGATAGAATTTGGTGATTCCTCAGGTCTCAGGGATGGTTTTTAATAAACCCAACTGGGACCACCTCGCTGGACATGCTGCTCCCCTTCAGACCTGGGAGTTTGGGGAGGGTAGGAGGAGAGCCCTCCAGATTTGCTGAAAGCCCTCTACCTTTCTTGGCTGGAACTGAGGATTCTATTGGAGCGATAGTAGAGAGCAATGGAAAGGAGCAAGCCCCCCCAGGGTGAGAGAAACTGGCATTAAAGGGACACAGAAGCTGAAAATTACTTCTGTATTCCCTGATTTATGCTTGAAGCCTATTTTCTATCTAGAAGCACATTTGCTTATCCTCTTACCCTGAAAACACAAAATAAATGTGGGCTTCATGTGGTAATGTTGGGTCCATTCTTAGAAATAACAGCAACACACACACAAACACACACACACTCCTATTCCTTGGTATCTCACAATGGCCACGATGATGGTTTGCTGCCTAAGAAAAAGTACTTCCTAGTGGTTACTAGTTATGGGCTCTAGAATCAGAGTGACTTAGGTTTGAATCCTAGAGCCACCACGTAACAGCTGGGTAGTCTCAGACAAGCTACTTGGCCAGCTGCCCTAAGCCTGTTTCCATATATGTCAAATGATGACAATAATGGTAGATGCCTTATAGAATTTTCATGAGTAGTTAATTGGATAAGGCATATAAACTATCTGGTACAAACTAATACAAACATTCAAATATTAGCCATTTATTACAAGACTGTGTCATTGTGGTAACTGATGATCTGAGACTCGAGGCCTCAGTTTCCCCATCTGTAGAGTGTGGAGATTGGCATAAAGTCCTTTCATGAAGAAGGACCTGGAATTGTGGTTGAGCCTGTCATTATGGA